CTCATCGGTACCTTCATGTGTGACTTGAAGCTTGTCCCATATTTCTTTGGCGGTTGTACACGATGAAACTCTTCCGTATTCATCTGGTCCAAGAGCACAAAAGATAATATGGATGGCTTTGGAGTTGAGCTGGAACATTTTTGTATCTCCTTCACTCCACAACCTTGGATGAGTGATAGGCTTAATGTATCATTCTTCTACGGCATTCCATGCTCCCATGTCACTTGCTTGAATGAAGTACATCATTCTATTCTTCCAATAGGCGTAGTTAGCTCCATTGAAGAAAGGAGGCTTGTTGACGGGCATCGAATCGAGACCGGAGTCGAAGTTTGAAGTGGAGGCCATTGATGACTTTGTAATCGATGTAACTCTTCCCGGATCGACTCAAGAGGCGATTAAACCTTCAAATGAGTTAGGCTCTGATACCAATTGTTGAGTTAATCGAATGACGAAATTGGCCAAGAGGGGGGTGAATTGGCAATAAAAATTTTGTGGAAGCTTTTGCAGAAAATTGAAAGTATTTGCACAGCGATTTACAGTGGTTCGACTTTCTCAAACAAAGTCTACGTCCACTACCTTAGCTATCCACACTAAGGATTTTCCAACAAATTCACTAATTTGTTCTTTCTTTTGAGGCCAAAGAGATAACCTTACAATTCCCTCAAGAGTATACCCCAACTCTTGAGAACACTCTTTTCTCAAAGAGAAGATTACAAATTTGCAAACTTACAAGAAAACCTCACAAGGTAAGATGTTTGCACAATTATAGAACAAAGAAAAGAACACTCAAAGATGAATACAATTGAGCACAAAAAGTGTTCTTGAAAGCAAAATGAATATTGAATGAAAATAGGCTTGAAATGCTCAAACTTGAGGTTTGATGCTTTCTCTTTGATTCTCTCTTGATTCTAGTTGCTTGATGTTTCTTGTTTTTGATCAATGGCTTCTAAGCTTGCTTAAATACACCTTGGATCACTTCTGAACGTTGGGGATGATTAGAGAAGATATTATAGCCGTTTTAGTGTGAAAACATTTAATAAAACAGCTTGGAGCGTGGGGGGAATCGGTTCCCCTCATAGGGAATCGGTTCCCTAAGTGTAAAATTCAAATATTTCGACCGTTGTACAAGGGGGAATCGGTACCCCCTTGGGGGGAATCGGTTCCCTCCGAGCATTCTGGAAATCTCGGAGCCAAACCATTCAGGGGGGAATCGGTTCCTCCTATGGGGGGGAATCGGTTCCCTCTGAGCAATCTGTAATTTTTGGCTTTGAATTGGTTCGAAATACTTTGTAAAATTATTTTGAAATTGTTTTATGATTAAAACTTAATTTTACACTTAAGTAAGGATTAAAAATGATTTTTGAAATATTTGGAGTAATGTTTTGATATTCGAATAGTTATATCGAATATACTTAGAAAATCATTTGGAAAATCTTAAAATCCATTTAACTTAATTTGTTATATCGAAATATTAAAATGTTTCAACAAACCCCCTTTTGTTTTTTCTTATCATGCATTAAAGATTTTAGAAAACCATTTTTTCATATAAAAGATTAACCCTTAGAGGCGGAATGAAATCTGAAGATAGTCTCTTCTATTTAGAAATCCATGTATGATTAGAAGGGACTTTTCATGCACGTAACGTAGGTCAAGGCTTACGAATATGAAATAAAGGGATAAATAGGCCCAAACAAGTGTTTAAGGGTGATCAAACTAAGGATCAATTGGTTCTGATGTCTTCAATCTTGCCTTACCTTATTTGAATCTTTTTGCAATTTGTATTTTATTTTCTTTATTTTTCTGGATCCCTCTAGACTGCCAATTTTTGGGTTTTCACCCTAGAGTTCATCTTCATTCTTTAATATCTTGTATTTCTTGATCTTCTTGTTGAATATGGATCTTTGTACTTGATCAACCTTGTGGTTTGAGGATCATTGAGTCATTTTATTTGGAGTGACTATTTTCTTGTGCTTCATGTCCGCTTTATTGTTGAATCTTGAACTTCATTTTGATTTGAATACATTATTTGTTCTCTTTATTCAGAGACTTCGTCATTTCCATTTGAGCATCATTTATTTCTTGCACTTGGAACATCTATTGTTGCTTTCGACTTGATTTGCTTCTCTAGCACTTTATATTTGATCCACCTTACGATACCTTGTTATTTCCATTTATTTCACAGATACTTTTTTTTTTGTAATAAAATTTGGACTGATGGTGTTCACTCATGCGAGAAGATTTCCTTTACCTTTCCCCCTAATGTGGAGGGTGATCCTTGGTTAGGTTTGAATCAAAAGAAAAATATCATAGGCTCAAATGGGGACAAGGGATATATTTTCTCTTTTTTTGAAGGGATAATGAAACAAATCCGTTCATCATTTCATCACAAAAGTTCTTGCAAAAGAGGTATCCCGAGGGGGATATATATTCAGGATTAACTTTTATTTAAATGAAATTAATGTAATTAATACATGATATAATTATTTCAATCGTTCCCTTTATTTATTCGTCTTCTTGATTCGAGCATGCCCCAATTATTTGAGCTTATCTTGAGAAAGATGATCCATGATGCATTATCTCGATTCTCCTGCAGGAATGATTCACGTACAAATGTATGTCTTGTTCTCAAGGTTTAATTGAGGATGGTTTTGCGTTTAAGAAGGTGAGGGTGTGACTTTGAATTCATGTCTTTGGAGAAGGGTAGTGTTATGAAAAGATTGACCTACATGAAAAGGTAATAGTATGAACTTGGTGCCTCGGAAAAGATAAGAGTATGGCTTTGGGGACTCAGAGAGGGGTAACGTCAAGACAAATTATTTTGGTAAAGAATCGAGTGGTCGTATGTTTGGTTTTGGATGGGATACGAGAGGTCTAATCTTTTCACTTGACAAAGATCTATAATTCTTGAAGAGTTGATAGAATCTTTAACCCATTTGGTACTCAAAGAACAAAAAGATTAAAAATTGATCCATTGTTTATAACCTTAAAAGGTGACATAAGTTCAAGCATCAAACTCTTTATAAAATATTTAAGAAAACAAAGAAAGAATAAAAACACATTCAAACAAGACAATGCCAGTGCAATAAGGTTTCATGGTGGATGTAAGAACTTCTTCTTAATTCACGTCAGAATGTCTCATTACGCGTTAAAGGTCAATGCCCCTTGATCAATCAAATTCTGGACCTTGCTCTTCTATGCCCCATGAATCTTAATGGTATGCCCTAAACTTCATTTATGGTGTTAACATCACATCCATGTCTCTTAATTGATCTCTAAGTGCGAACAGGATGACTTCAATTTACTTTCAAGATTTTTGCAATGGAATCCTCTACGAATCATTCTCATACTCCAAGATTGATGTATGTGTAAATGATTAAATATCATTCAATGTATAATGTAGAGATACGAATACACATATGCAAATATGAGAGTGTAAATATAGGATGCAAAGATACAAAATGAAAATGTAAAAGGTGACAATTCTAATTAGTGACCAGCATTAGGAAGACCTTTGTCAAAACAAAAACTCTCCTCATATCAGATAGTCAAATTTCACGAGCTTCATTTTCTTCATGTCTCTGTCCTGGTCTCTTCTCAATATATATGATGTTGGTATTTTTGAATCGTCTATTACATTCGATGATGTCGACCCATAGTAATTGTTGGATCTTTAAACTTCTATTGCTACGAGATTTTCCAAGAGGAAAATGATCTTCAGCTCTCGTATAGGTCTTCTCAGTCTTGTTCCAGTTAGCATCTGACCCTTTGATATCATCTCGATTTTCATGCCTTTGATGAGAGTCATGGATCTGCTTTAAGCTCTTCCTTTTTCAGTTAACTCTTTTGTAGACCATCGATCATTTGGATTTGACTACCTAATTATGGAGTCCATGTGTCAATACGAAAACCATCCATTTTTTGTAACCACTTTTTTTGAATTAACACCTCTTCGTCATGGTGATGAGAATGGTATGATGATGCAAATGCAAGAAAGAAAGGAAATCAAAACAGAAGACAAGCTAGAACCTAATAAAATAATTAACAGAATAGTAATACCTACCCTTACATGCTGTCTACCCAAACATGGTTTAATAGGTCTTACCCATACATGATCTCTACCCCAATGCTTTTGTTTGGCAAATAAATTCTAACCGCGTTCTTTTCTAGTTCGCATGCTTTGCAAGAAATGTAAAACCTAATCGCATATTTTTCTAGTTATCATGCTTTTTACAAAAAGTGAATCTAAGGAAAGGTTAGAGTGAGTTTCCTCTTTTAAAATTTGTGTAGTAATTGATGAAACACACCGTGTGATTAATGTCCGAATATTGTCTGGAAATTCGATATCTTGGAGGGTATTGTCAATAAAACTCCAGTCAAGATGGTTGTGGGCGTTTTCTAAATCAATTTTAATTGCCATAAAACCTCTATTCCCTTTATTCAACTGCATGGTAATGTCACAGACCGCCAGCCCAAGACCGAGCCCAGTTCGTTCAAGGCTGCCAGAGACTATCTTTGCCACGTTTTGGGCCTTCTAGAAGACCCAGCAGAGCTGGCCCATCCACCTTGGAGAGAGAAGAGGCATGATAATTATTTGAAATTATCTTAGAGATAATTCCCACTAATTATTCTTTAATTTAGAGTTATAGATAGAGTAGGGCTCTTTTCTGACCGTTGATGTAATTTAATCTTAACCGTTGATTGTAGTGGGCTCCAACTATAAAAGGAGGCTCACCCCCACCTCATTTATACACTTCAGATTGAGGAATACAAGTTAGCATTCACTCTAAACTCTCTCTTCTCCATTTGAGCGCCCATCTCTTTATTTTTCCCATTTCCTTTGTTTTCGCAACGTTCTAAGCATTCTTGCTTAGTGGAGGTTTGGGTTACTTAGCCGATTTTCGACCTTGAAAATGACTATAGCCGTATGAGCTTACTAGCAACAGTCTAGGCCCGTGACAAGTGGTATTAGAGCCTGTTTTGCTGATTTTTGTTGATTCGAGATGGCACCACAACATGGCGAAGCGACGGGTTCCGATGGGAATGGAACTCGCAATACTGGAAAGAAGAGAGCACCCTCGAAAGATGTTCTCACATCTATCCAGGAGAAGGTTACCAGGCTCGAGGATTCCATGACGGAAGCCAAGGTAGTGTTGGATGTGCTGGAGTCCGTAGACCTTGAGAGGCTGGGATCATTGGATCTCGATAAGCTGGAGTCCTTGGAGAGTATCAGGGAGGAGGTTCAGGATTCACTCAATGAGTTAGATGTGAAGGCAACTGATCGAGGTGATTCCTTAGAAGCCATGGTGGTGGCTTTAAGGAAGGAAGTTGAGGAACTCAAGAGCAAGGGTTCTGATTTTGAGGTGGTCGAGCTAAAGAGGGAGGTCGAGTTGCTCAAGACCGAGTTGTTGGTGTGCAAAGCTACGTTCGGGAATAACATAGCCACAGTTGCACCCAAAGCCTTGGGTGACATCCCTAAGCCAGAGAAGTTCAAAAGAACCAGGTCCGCCTAGGATGTTGAGAATTTCCTTTGGGGGTTGGGCCAGTACTTTGCAGCCACAGGAATCACGGAGGATGCCAGGAAAGTAAGCATCGCTAGTGTTTACTTATCAGAGGTTACCCTCATGTGGTGGCGACACAGATGCAATGATGTGAAGTGTGGGAATGCTGCCATAGAGACCTGGGCAGAATTCCAAGTTGAGTTCAAAGAACAGTTCTACCCAGAGTATACTGAGGATGAGGCGCGGTCTAAGTTGAGGCGTCTCAAGCAAGAAGGGTCACTGAGGGAGCATGTTCAAAAGTTTGTCGAACTAATGCTCCAAGTCCTAAATTTGAGTGAAGAGGACGGGTTCTTCACCTTCATGGATGGGTTGAAACCATGGGCAAAGAACGAGCTAAGGCAACGAGGAGTTAAGGAACTCTCGGTTGCCTTGACGACGGCCGAGTCAATCATTGAGCTTGGCGTCAAGAAGGTGGACTCCAAACCGAAGATGAAGTTCTGAGGCAGCAGTAGTGATAGGGACAAGGCATCCAAATCCGATAAAGATTCGAGTGGCACTGGCAAGCCATCGAATGGTAAGCACTCGGATAAGAAAGACAAGCAAATTATACAGTGTTATAACTGCAAGGGCCAAGGGCATTTGGCGAGGGACTATCCGCAGAAGAATAAACTCTCGGCCATCAAGGAGAAAGATGGGGAAGAGAGTGAGACTCTAAAGCTTGGCTCCATCCTTAGCACCATGGAGGTCAAGAAAGGTCGGAAGAAGAAGGGGTTGATGTTCGTTGACATCACCCTTGCTGGCCAGAAATTGAGTGCACTAGTGGACACCGGTGCCTCAGAGTTGTTCATGTCAGAACCAGTTGCAAAGATACTTGGTCTTTATGTTGAGAAAGTAAGTGGTTCTATCAAGACCGTCAATGCCAAAGAGGTTCCGATTGCGGGGGTCGTAAAGGGAATTGAGTTAACTGTTGAGGTTGGTCCGGAACGGAAGCCATCAAGGTGATTCCTCTTGATGACTTCGACTTCATGCTTGGGTTAAGTTTCTTGGACCATATCAATGCCTTCCCAGTACCTTTTGCCGATTGCTTGTGCATCCTGGATCCAAAGCAACAGTGCATTGTTCCAGTGAGCCGAAGGCCCGGAGTAGGAGCCAAAGTTCTATCCGCAATTCAATTCTCGAAGGCGGCATGTAAGGAGGAACCATCCTTCTTAGATGTCTTGGTATGTGATGAGCCAGTCACAACCAAGGAAGTTCCCGACGTGGTGAGCCACGTGTTGGCAGAATTCCAAGATGTGATGCATACCGAGTTGCCTAAGAAGTTGCCTCCAAAGAGGGAGGTGGATCACTAGATTGAGCTTGTGCCAAATGCGGAGCCACCCGCTTGAGCTCCTTACCGAATGGCTCCACCCGAGTTGGAGGAGATGCGCAGATAGTTTAAGGATCTCCTCGATGCCAGTTACATCCAACCATCCAAGTCCTCCTATGCTACCCCAGGGCTGTTTCAAAAGAAGCACGATGGTTCTTTGCAGATGTGCATCGATTACCGGGCTTTGAATAAGCTCATGGTGAATAACAAGTACCCGATTCCTCTCATTGCAGACTTGTTCGATCAGCTTGGTGGTGCAAGGTGGTTCACTAAGTTAGATTTGCGATCGGGCTATTACCAAGTCAGGATAGTCGAGGGAGATGAACCGAAGACAGCCTGTGTGACTAGGTACGGTTCATATGAATACCTTGTGATGCCCTTTGGCCTCACGAATGCTCCAGCCACTTTTTGCACCCTGATGAACAAAGTATTGCAACCTTTTCTGGATTGATTCGTTGTTGTCTACCTTGACGGCATCATCATCTACAGTAAGACGTTGGAGGAGCATGTTGAACACTTGAAGCAAGTGTTTCTGGTGTTGCAAGAGAATGAGCTCTTTGTCAAAGAGGAGAAGTGCTCATTCGCCAAAACGGAGGTTCCTTTCCTTGGCCACATTATTGGAGGTGGCAAGATCTGGATGGATAGGGACAAGGTTCAAGCCATTGATGAATGGAAAGTGCCAACCAAGGTGACGGAGCTGAGATCATTCCTGGGGTTGGCCAACTATTACCGGAGGTTTGTCAAAAGTTACTCAAAAATCGTCGTCCATTTAACCGAGTTATTGAAGAAAGACAAGGCGTGGGATTGGGGCCCGAAGTGTCAAAGTCCCTTTGACGAAATCAAGCTTGCTATGACAAGCGAGCCAGTTTTGGTGTTGCCAGATCACACCAAGCCCTTTGAAGTATTCACTGATGCATCCGACGTTGCCATTGGTGGGGTCCTGATGCAAGAGGGACATCCGGTTGCTTATGAAAGTTGGAAACTCAATGAGACCGAAAGGAGATACACGGTCCATGAGAAAGAGATGACTGCAGTTGTGCACTGTTTGCGCACATGGCGACATTACTTACTTGGGTCCAAGTTCGTGGTGTTTACAGACAATGTTGCCAACAGTTACTTCTTAACCCAGAAGAAGTTGTCACCGAAGCAGGCTCGTTGGCAAGAGTTCCTTGCCGAGTTTGACTTGTCCTTGGAGAACAAACCTGGGAAAGTGAATTCCGTGGCCAATGCCTTAAGTCGAAGGTGTGACATGGAGTTTGTGAGTTTACCGACGGGACAAATGCGGGAGCGCATCAAAGAGGGGTTGTCACATAATCCGATAGCCCCTTCATTGATTGAGCTTGCCAATGAGGGCAAGACTAGAAAGTTTTGGCTAGATGGAGGCTTGTTGTATGCTCGAGGACACTGCCTCTATGTGCCACAATTTAAAGGATTGCGAAAGGAGCTCATGAGGGAATGCCATGATTCCAAGTGGACAGGACATCCGGGGATCCACCGGACTTTGGCCTTGATAGCGGAGCACTATTATTGGCCGCACATGGGCAATGATGTCGAGGCCTATGTAAAGACCTGTCTTGTGTGCTAGCAAGACAAGATAGAGCAGAGGAGACTAGCTGGATTATTGCAGCCTCTACCTATCCCCAAGAAACCATGGGAAAGTCTTTCCATGGATTTCATTATTGGTTTGCCTGTTTCCGACGGATTTTCTAGCATCATGGTCGTGGTGGATAGATTTTCCAAGTATGGGACCTTTATTCCAGCATCCAAAGTTTTTCCAGCCGAGGAGGCCGCTCGTCTTTTTCTCAAGTACGTGGTGAAGTACTGGGGTGTTCCAAAGATGATTATCAGTGATCGGGACACAAGGTTTACTGGGAGGTTCTAGAAGGAGTTGTTCAAGTTGATGGGATCAAGCTTGAACTTCTCGAAAAGTGTTCATCCACAAACGAATGGGCAAACCAAGAGAGTGAATGCACTCGTCGAGACCTACTTGAGGCACTATGTGAGTACCACACAACGTGACTGGCCAAAATTGTTGGATGTAGCCCAGTTTTCCTACAATTTGTAGAGGAGTGAAGCGACCAATCAGAGTCCATTTGAGATTATTATCGGGCAACAGCCGCTTACACCAAATGCGGTTGTGACCGGGTACCAAGGGCCGAATCCAACAGCATACCAATTTGCCAAGGAGTGGCAAGAACAACATGAACTAGCCCGAGCTTGTTTGCTCAAGGCCGGGAAGCGAACCAAGAAGTGGGCAGATCGAAAGAGTCGGGATGTAAACTTTGAGGTTGGTGACCTAGTCCTTGCCAAATTAAGTGGTATCATGCGCAACCCATATCACAAAGGGCTTGTACGAAGATACGAGGAGCCATTCAAAGTTTTGAAGCGGGTAGGCACCATGGCCTACAAATTAGAATTACCTTTGACCATCAAAGCTCATCCTGTGTTCCATGTGAGTTTGTTGAAGACATACCATCAAGATGAGGAGGAGCTAGATCGAGGCAAGTCACACCGAGCGCCAGTCGGGGTAAAGGTCTCATACGAGAGAGAAGTAGAAGCTATCCATGCAGAGAGAGCCGTTCATGGAGTGGGAAAATGACCAAGGCATGAATACCTTGTTCAGTGGAAGGGACTTCCAGAGAGTGAGGGAAGTTGGGAACCTTCCGAAGCCTTGTGGCAATTCCGAGATAAGATAGACCGGTTTCACTCTAGTCGCGCAACGAGGGCGTCGCTAGAACTAGTGGGGGAGAATGTCATAGACCGCTAGCCCAAGACCAAGCCCAGTTCGTTCAAGGCTGCCAGAGACTATCTTTGCCATGTTTTGGGCCTTCTAGAAGACCCAACAGAGCTGGCCCATCCACCTTGGAGAGAGAAGAGGCATGATAATTATTTGAAATTATCTTAGAGATAATTCCCACTAATTATTCTTTAATTTAGAGTTATAGATAGAGTAGGGCTCTTTTCTGACCGTTGATGTAATTTAATCTTAACCGTTGATTGTAGGGGGCTCCAACTATAAAAGGAGGCTCACCCCCACCTCATTTACACACTTCAGATTGAGGAATACAAGTTAGCATTCACTCTAAACTCTCTCTTCTCCATTTGAGCGCCCATCTCTTTAACGTTCTAAGCATTCTTGCTTAGTGGAGGTTTGGGTTACTTAGCTGATTTTCGACCTTGAAAACGACTAAGGTCGCACGAGCTTACTAGCAGTAGTCTAGGCCCGTGACAGTATGCATAAAATCTTGAGCTATAATGATGTTTTTTGTAATTAATTTCCTAAGAACGAATCTAGTTTAGTTTTGACAGACCCACGTGGGAAGCAAAGGTTTTAAACGATTAACAATGAGTTTTGTGACCACTTTATAAATAACCGAGCAAAGATAATCGGTCGAAATTGAGAGATAAATTTTGGGGCTTTTATCTTAGGTATTATAATGACAAGTAATGTACGGTTTAACGATTCTTCGAACATACCTCCAGCAAATAGATCCTTCACAAATCTCTGTACACTTTTATTGACGATTGACCAATTTCGTTGGTAAAACACAGCGTGTATATCGTTGGCCCCCGGTGCTTTGAAAGCACCCAATTAGAAAACTACTTGTTTAATTTCTTCATCTGAAACCTCTCGGTTAACTCCTTCCAAAGAAGCTGTTGAAACGTTAGGGAAACAACCCCTAGTTGTGTACTTGTAGCCGTAAATGCTTATGCTAGTGAAAAGTTCTTTATAAAAAGAGAAAATAACCTCAGTGACCAAAAATCCCATATAATATACGATTTTGACCAATTTTTTTTGATTTGCCAAAATGACCAACAAAATCGCAATGTGATTTCTAATTCGCAACGCGATCTCCAGTATCGCAAATTCGCGCTGCATTTCGCGTTGCGATAGGTGAAAATCGCGTTGCGATTTTCCATTTTGCGTTGCGATAGTTGAAAACCGCGTTGCGGTTTTCCATTTCGCGTTGCGATAGTTGAAAATCGCGTTGCGGTTTTCCATTTCGCGTTGCGATAGTTGAAAATCGCGTTGCAGTTTTCCATTTCACGTTGCGATAGTCTACAGTGTCGTTGCGATTTTCCATTTCGCGTTGCGATAGTCTACAGTGTCGTTGCGGTTTTCCATTTCGCGTTGCGATAGTTTTAAAAATGGTATTGCATTTGTTTCTTAAGAATTTTCTCTAAAAAGGTAGTATCCGCGCGGATGTGTCGAAGACACGTATTACCACGACCACGACCATGACCACGACCCGAGACGAGACGGCAGCGACGGCGCGCGAGAGTTTCCCTTGTTCTCTTTCACTCAACAAGGAAGTGCAAAATCTAAACCTTAAATACCATTCCCAATATTGTTTCCAAAACTATGTGGGATTGAGCATTCCCAATAGTAATATCACGGATCTTACAGTATCATATCAAACTATATCACATAAGAAAATCTATGAGGAAGAGATATTTATACAATGTTCAACTCATAAATTATTTTATCAATTCATAGATAATAGAGTCTCTTTAAATATTTTGAAAGATCATCAAGCATAACATTCAGGATCATTAGTCTCACTCAATTACTAATCACTACCTCTCCTTCAAGCACCTCACCATCCTCTCTCCACTCTTAAGTCTAATCATTGTACAACATAATTCATTAAACAAATTATCTTGATCTCGCTATCTTTTTATATATCAACACGTAATTATTTAAGTCGAATAAAATGCAAAGACTAAATATATAGAATTTGGCTTATCTTTGAATGTATAAAAAGCTGAAACTACTATAGGATTCACCATATTAATGAGTTGAACATTGTATAAATATACTCTATTATCTAAGTCTTGGTAATGCTCAATCCCACATAGTTTTGGAAACACTATTGAGAATGGTATTTAAGGTTTGGATTTTGCACTTCCTTGTTGAGTGAAAGAGAACAAGGGGGACTCTCGCGCGCCGCCGCCGCCACCGTCTCGTGGTCGTGGTTGTGGTAATACGTGTCTTCGACACGTCCGCGCGGATACTCTCTTTTTAGAGAAAATTCTTAAGTGAATTGAAAATCGCAACGACACTGTAGACTATCGCAACGCGAAATGGAAAATTGTAACGACACTGTAGACTATCGCAACGCGAAATGGAAAACCGCAACGTCACTGTAGACTATCGCAACGCGAAATGGAAAATCGCAACGACACTGTAGACTATCGCAACGCGAAATGGAAAACCGCAACGCGATTTTCAACTATCGCAACGCGAAATGCAGCGCGAATTTGCGATACTGGAGATCGCGTTGCGAATTAGAAATTGCATTGCGATTTTGTTGGTCATTTTGACAAATCTAAAAAAAATTGGTTAAAATCGTAAATTATATGGGATTTTTGGTCACTGATGTTATTTTCTCTTATAAAAATCGACAACCATTTGTTTCAACTAATCTTGATCAGAGCACCAGCTGCCATCTTGTGTTTTGAGTGCATGCACGTGATTAGTTCTTCTCATTTGCATGGTACATGCATGGAAGTATTTCATATTTTTGTTGCCTTGCGTAATCAATTATTGTAAGGATTTCTATAGCCATAAACGCTCCTCTTTTGCTAGTAATTCATTGATTTCTATTTTTAAGTCTGCTTCTAGTTGGATCAGGCGGTTCGAGTGAGCTCGACGGAGGGCTGTACCGGTTCCAATAAGTTGAGCCAATAATGTTTTTTTCTTTCTTTCTAATATGTCCAAATGCTAATGTGTTACATTCCTTCACCTTCATCGTAAAGCTCTCAATATTTTTAAGAACATCCTGCCCATCATCCCAATAATTTCGCAAAAATCTGCAAACGCTAGATGGGCTTGCCATGTCGATATAAAACGGAAGGGTGTATCTTCCGTTCATCCACTCAAATTTGGATTGTGAAGTAGAAGTGGACAATGGTCGAATCCCATATGGTTCAAATGTGAAACAGGGGTCATGGGGAATCAGGTAACCTAATCCTCATTAAAGAGGCGGCGATCTCAACGCTTCTATAGCCCCTCACATTTCCATGTGAACTCAGCTCCTCTAAATTCAATTTCCAATAACTGAAAGTCGAAAATGAACTCCTGAAATAACTTGCTCACTCCAGACCCTCGATTTGATCCTTCTTTCTGTTTGTCTCTCTAAATGATTGAGTTAAAACCACCACCCAGCAACCAAGGCTCTTCCTTCCCTGGATTCAGATCTCTTAATAGGCCTCAGATTTCTTTATGTTTTGTGGCGTGCGGGCTGGCATAAATGACTGTAAAGTGAATCCATGAATTCGATCCTTCATCTTGTGCTCGACCATGTACAAATTGAGAGGAGATTTTTAATATCTCAACCTGAACTGATGCATTCCGTAGGATCCATATGCCTCCACTGAACTCATTCGCTTTAATCTGGAAAGAATTCAAAAACCTAGTCTTAAGTTCACTTTGTCCGCATTGAATCCACTGATCCTTATCTCAAAGAGTGCATCTATTTTTTGTTGATTCTGACGCCAAATTCTTTAAAAATTTTCTTGAAAGAGGGACTAACAGACCCTTGATTGATCATTAAAAGGATTATGCAAGAACTCTTATAAAATTCTTTATATTTTTGGATTTAGTGTACTCTTTTTAGAAGTTGAAAGTAAACTTGTTTTAGGTTAACTACTTCAAATACCACTCACCTTTAACCTCGGGCTCTAAAATGCCACTGATGTTTCAATTTTGTCAAATTTATCATTGACATTTATGTTTCACTACAATTATGCCACCCCGTCGTTAATGGCTTAAAGACACGATGACATGGCATATTCGCACCGTGACATTGCTCCTACACCAAAATGACATCGTTTAGGAGCAACGATTTTGATGCTCAAAAAACCCAAAACGATGTCGTTTTCTTAGAATCATTTTATGAAAAATGAAAAATTGATTTCCAAAAGATTCAAACCAAAGTCCTTTTTTAACAAATACCAAACACCCAACCACCAAGCTAACTTTATAATGCCATGGATCCCGAGTTAGGAGTTTTGGGCTAACATGAGACGGTAAGTAAATTCCTTAACTTATAAGAACTTTGACCCAAATTGAGATGGAATTTGGCTTGAGTTAAGTCCGTTGGGGAATAAAAAGGGTGTTTTTAGTCTACAGTTAGAATCAGAGGGACCAGTGAAGTAATTTCCCCATTAAAGATTTCAAAAGCTGAAGATGTTTTAATTGTGGTGTTGTCATGTTGTCCCCTCCCACTTTTCTCAACTATTCCTTGTCTTTTTCTCTTCCCATTCTTCATCTTCTTCTACTTTCTTAGGGAGATAAAACAAAGGTGAAAATTTTATATTAGTTCCAGCATTTTTCAGCAAGCCAAGGTAAAGATTTAATTCAGCAACTTCAGAGCTTTAAATTAAGCCTTCCACTTCACCTTTTCACCATGGGAACCAAAAACATGTTTTGTGGGGTTTAGCAAACTGTTGAGTTTTAATATGTTTTCCAGGGGTTTATAGGCTTAAGAAATGTTTTTAAAGCCCCATAAATCTCTACACTCAACTAGTAATCCTTGCAATTGGTTTTGTTTAGTGAAAGAGGTTGGAGAGATCTCCAAAGCTAGGATGAAGGAAAAGCTTACCTTGGGTTAAGCTTTTGACGTTTCTAGTAGCTTAGAATCAACAGTTAACTCACTCTTGACTCATCTTTGCCACATGTAGATCATTTAGATAAGTTTGGTAAGTTGTATAAGCTTGAAGCATATTCATGGTAGTTTGCATCATTTATGTGTTTTCAGTATGTTAAAGACCTCTTTATGCCCCTTAAAATCAAATAAAACACTTAGTCATCAGTTTGGGACCTTAATGGGGTGTTTGGGGATGAAAGATAGGATTTTCATGCTCAAAATAGAGCACCAGTAGCATGATATCGATATTGTATAAACAATATCGATACTGTTCATCAGTCAAGCATAAATTAGGCAGATTTATAAGGGTAGTATCGATACTCATTCATTGTGTATCGATACCAGGGCAGGAGTGTCGATACTCCCCATATGGGAATTGATACTGGGGAAATTTTTAAAACATCAAACCTCAATTTGATATTGATACTCGGTCAAGTATCGATACCCCAGTACCAAAGTATCGATACTCAACCTAGAGTATCAATATTGCCTTAACCCAGCAGCCACGTCAGACAGGGGGTATCGATACCAATAGGTGGGTATAGATACTAGGGTTCATTATCGATACTGAAGAGTCAGTATCGATACCCACGAATATATTTTGTTAAAGAATTCAAGGAATAAGGGATCAGACCCGAGGTACCCTAAATACTTAGAATAACAACAACTAAGACTTCAAGCGATAACAATAATAATAATTATTAGAGCAATAGAAACATTAACAGCTAGGGTTACATAAAACTAGCATTGTTTAACACTCGGGAAAAAATCAGGACACCCTAGTTACTCATAGCAGAAGTACGACAGTCAGTGGATCTAAGTCAGCTCCATCACACTTGAGTAGACAACTGGGCGCCAGATACCCCAAGACTGGATGAAGTGGTTGGCGGGTGCAAGTTTCCATGGTGTTCAGAACTGGACCGGTTAGCGAACCGGCCATGCTATCGTTTCAGTGGTTTAACCGATCAAACCGGTCCAATCGGTCGGAAGAACCGGACGATCATAATTATTTAAAAAATTAAATAAAAATACCAAAAATATTTAATAAAAAATATTTTTTTTATATCACAATTCATATTCAAAGCAAGTCATAACATATATAAGTTAAAAACCATAAAATCAAGTGAAACAAAATGATTCAAATTAACTACAACATAATATTTAAGGTAAAACATATTAAATAATAAATATAATTATATAACTATAATTAAAAAATAAATTTGGGGCTAAAAAAATCATAACAAAATGATATTGTTTGGTTTAATTTTTTCAAAAAACAATCCCACATGACTAAGAAACATAGAAGATCATCTCAACTAACTTCTATAAATAATAAAGGTAATTTGGCATTCAAAATCATGGAGCCTTTTGGTAAGCATTGAGTAAACTATTCTTTCACTTCAATCAAGCTCGAATTTTAGACTTCAATCGAGCTTCTAATTTTTTTTTGAGTTCAAGCATTTTCGAGTTAAAGTTTCAATATTATATTTCGAGTTCGAGTTAAACTTCATAATTTTTAACGTGAGTTTGAATCGAGTTGAGCTTACTTTTAAATTTTTCAAGTTCGAGTCGAGCTCAGCAATACTCGAGTTCGACTTGGCTCGTTTAACAAACAACGTTGTTTGGTTTAATTTGTTTAAAAAAAATGAAATTGGCGGTTTTTTCCCAGTTTTTTCCCGGTTTTCAGCCGGTCCGGTTTGAACGGTTCAGCGGTTCTGGCCGGTTCACTAGTAGCGGTTCAACCGGTCTAGATTGAATCGGACTAGGCAACGATTCCCGGTTGAACCAGCCGGTCCGGTCCGGTTTTCAAAACATAGCAAGTTTCTGATGACAGAATTCCAGATTCCCATCAGGTAGGCTAGAGGGGTGTGAGCTCCAAGATGATAGAATCCTTCTGCCGTACCATGATGTCTACCAATGTTTAGCAAATTAGGTCTCAGTATCTTATGTCTTCGTATGTTTCGACCTGTGCTGATAGTCAACTCTTTAAATAGATGCATATAGTATAATACTAGTTTTTAGTGAGACACTGAGCTCGTAAGCTCAGTGTTCAGAATGTGTTTCAGTGCGTAGGTTCTTAGGGGCAGATCATGGGGAGTTATCGTCAGTAGGTATTTTAGTGCAACATATCAGACCAACAATGACTATTAGAGTATGTCTTGAGTCTTCTTTAGAGGGCATATACTATTTATGGACCATTTGTATATTCAGTCATAACTTTGATTTATACTGGTACTCTATTTATTTTGGATATATTTTAAGAGTTCCCCATTATTTTGTAAACTCAAATATTTGTTATGATTTCCCTTAATAGTATGGATGAACTATTTCAATTAATTGAAAAGTTATTTTTTAAAGAAATTTTTGGGTCACTATTTCGGTAGTCTCGTATGACATTGAAATCTATAGAACTTCGAGTTAAACTGGATTAGTGTCTTACATTTAATGGTATCAAAGTGTTTAGGTTTAGTCGTTCCTAGGACCCGTAGGTTAGAGTCAGTGAGCGTTTGTATATGTACGTGCCTCTAGGGAGTCAATAGTACTATAATAACTGGAATAATGACAATAAACCATTTTCTTTCAAATTTCATATAAGTTCTATGTCAGACAACCCAACTTATAGCCAAGATGGTAGAGACGAGAGTCATGCCTCAGCATCACTGAATATTAGTAAGAGATTCATTTCGGATACCTACGACCAAGGTGCCCTAGTAGATACAAGAGTTGAGGAGGTGACCTTTTTTAGGGACCTCACCTCTGTGCTTAGACAGATAGCTAGGTCTCTCCCTAGTTCATCAGCAGCACCACCTCCCCCTCTAGTACCCTCAACGTAGTCACTAGCCACACCCCATGTGCCCCCGATAGAGTGAATCCATAGATACAAGACAACTGAGTTCTTCGGTACTAAGGATGACGATTATATAACAACGAACCAATAGCTCACAGAGACGTTTAGTACCCTCCGAAAGTTGCATATCACCCCACTAGGTAATTTGAAGTGCATCACCTCCTTGCTTAAGGGTGACACAATAGATTGATGGGAGACACTTGAGTTAGTGATGGAGCTAGAGAGACCGACTTGGGAGTAGTTCCTCGCAGGGTTCAGAGATAAGTATATTAGATAGATCCACACTGATGATTTGATAGAGGAGTTCTTCCACTTGACTCTGGGTGATCTCTCAGTGATGGAGTACGAGCGCGAGTTTCTTCTTCTTAGTAAATATACTAGAGAGCTGGTTTCGATCGAGGAACGTCTATGTTACCGATTTAGAGAGAGCCTTCATGGTGATATTTTGACCCATCTCATAATTGATCATCCAGGGTATTTGCCCAGCTAAACCCACCAGATGAAGGTAGTTAAAAGAGCCTTAGATAGGCAGTCTAGGTAGTCTAGTGAGGCTACAGATAGATCAAGAGAGCCACTGAGCCAGCAAGGATATCGTAGACTCTGAAAAAGAGGATCAGAGATAGTCAGGGCTCTTCGAGACCCCCAGCAGTAAATATGAGGATGAATGGGTAGAGTTCAGATAGAGGGGTTAGTTATGATACCCAGAGGTGATCATTATCCCTTGATTCAGGAGCTAGTACCCACATCGCGCTCAAAGGTTTTACTCGTCCTGTTTGTGCTCAGTGTCAAAACATGCACGTAGGGACTTGTCAGCAGGTTTTGAGGGTTGCTACAGTTACAGCTCATTGGGTCACTTTGCCCGTGATTGTCTGAGAATCTAGAGGGAGACTCCAGCTCCTACTCAGAGGTATGTATCTTCAGTTCATGGAGGACGAGGACTGACTAGAGGTGGTAATACTACTTCGGGGCAGCAGAATTGTGTGACAGCTAGACCAGTGACTGGTGCAGAGCCTAGATTGACCTCCAGACAGTATGCCATATAAGCCCGAGATGAGGTTGACATAGAAGACATGATATTAGGCACATTTACCATCTTTTCTTTTCCAGTTACCGCGTTGATAGAAACTAGATCCACTCATTTTTACATCTGCTCACTCATTCTTACATCTGCTCTGACCTAGTACAAGAAAAAGAAATACTAGCAGAGATCTTAGAGATAGGTGTTTGAGTCCCAAGCCCCTTAAGGTTACACATCCTGGTGGATAAAATTTTTAGACGATGCCCAGTAAGGATTCAGGATCAGGCTTTTCCAACAGATCTGATAGAGTTACCCTTCAAGGAGTTCGATTTGATCTTAGGGAATAATTGACTAACCGAACACGATGTCAGTTTGAGGTGTAAAGCCATACGACTTAATCTTATAGCAGTTGATGGAACGAAGTTGATGATGACCAGTGAGAGACCCCGTCAGAGAAGAATAGTATCAATCTTGAAGGCCCAAAGAATGATCGACCGTAAGTGTGAGGCCTTTTTGGCTCATGTGGCCAACACCCAAATTTCAGCACTTCACTCGGGGATTTTTCGAATGATGCAATGCTTTCCCGATGTGTTCCCAGAGGAGTTACTGGGTTTACCACCTAAGTATGAATTAGCGTTTGGCATTGAGGTAATGACAGTTTCAACCCCTGTGTTCATTACTCCCTATCGCATAACACCGACTGAGCTAAAGGAGCTGAAAGTCCAGATTCAAGAGTTGCTAGACAAGAGTTTCATTGGGTCGAGCATCTCGCCTTAAGGAGTGTGGTCTTATTCTTTAAAAAGTAAGATATGTCAATGAGGTTGTGCATCGACTACATACAATTAAATAAGTTAACCATCAAGAACTGTTACCCACTCCCCATAATAGATGACCTATTCGACCAACTTAGAGGAGCGTATATCTTTTCAAAGATTGACCTACGATCATGCTACTATTAGCTGAAAGTCAAGGATAAGGACATAGCAAATATAACTTTCAGAACAAGGTAAGATCATTATGAATTCCTGGTGATGTTGTTTGGACTCACCAACGCTCCGACGACATTCATAGATATTATGAACCATGTTTTCTACCCATACTTAGATCAGTTTATGGTGGTGTTTATAGAGGACATCTTGGTGTACTCCCGATCAGAGGATGAGTACGATCAGTATCTCCGTATTGTTCTTTAGACCCTCAGAGACAGAAAGTTGTATGTCAAATTCAAGAAGTGTGAATTTTGGCTACCAGAGGTATCCTTCTTAGGCAATTTCATGCCATCAGATTGCGTCAGGGTAGACCCTCAGAAAAGTTAGGCCATAGTTGAGTGGGAGCCACCTAAGAATGTGTCAGAGGTGCATAGTTTCATCGGGTTGGCCAGGTACTTTCATCGATTCGTTTAGGTTTTCTCAATGATAGTTGCCCCGCTAACCAAACTGATTCAAAAAAATAGTTCCCCTCGTTTGGGATGAAAAGCAACAAAAGAGCTTTGAACAGTTCAAGGTCATCTTAACCCAAGCACCGGTGTTGATCCAACCAGAGTCGGGTAAGGACTTCACAGTTTATAGTGATGCTTCATTGAATAAACTTGGATACATTATGATGCATGAGGGTAAGGTTGTGGCTTATGTGTCTCGTTAGTTTAAGCCCCATGAGTGTAATTACCCTACCCATGACCTAGAGTTAGCCGCAATGGTGTTCGCTTTGAAGATTTGGCGACATTATCTCTTCTGTGAGAAGTGTCACATCTTCACCGATCACAAGAGCCTCAAGTACCTTCTCACTTAGAAAGAGTTTAACCTCAAACAACGCAGATGGGTCGAGTTACTTAAGGACTGTGACTGCGTGATAGATTATAATCTAAGAAAGACGAAAGTGGTAGTATACGCCTTAAACAGGAAGTCAATTACTAAGTTGCGAGCTCTCTTGGCACGTGTGAGTTTATCCAGTGATGATGGATTACTAGCCGAGTTACAAGTTGAGCCATAGTTGGTGGGAGAAGTCAAGCAGTTACAAAGTTTAGATGATCGGTTAAGAAATCGAATCGATCAGGTTAGCTAGGGTGAGGCCCCAGGTTTCGAGCTTCGTAATAGAGATGTGATATACTTCAGGGGTCGGTTGTACGTACTCACAGACGCTCAGCTATGTAGTATGATTCTTCATGAAGCACACTACAGTCCACTCTACGTACACCCAGACAATAATAAGATGTATCAAGAGTTTCACTGATTGTTCTATTGGCTAGCCATGAAAAGGGAAGTGTCCGAGTTCGTAGTGAGATGCCTAGTGTGTTAATAGGTTAAGGTGGAACACCAGGTTCCCTCAGGTTTGCTTTAGCCTATTCATATTCCCTAGTGGAAATGGGATAGGGTGACCATGGACTTTGTGACCGGGTTACCAATGATCAGACAGAGACATGACATTATTTGGATCATAGTAGACCGCCTAACTAAATCAACTCACTTTCTCCTAGTTAGAATGACTATACCCTAGAAAGGTTAGCTCAGTTATACATCCGTGAGATAGTAAGGTTGCACGGTGTACCAGCTTCTAGTATTTTAAACAGAGATCCTTGGTTCACTTCTCGATTCTGGGAAGCTTTTCATGAGTCCCTAGGCACCTGACTACACTTCAGTACAAATTTCTATCCTCAGACAGATGGCCAGGTCAGAGCGAGTTATCTAGATCCTTGAGGATATCCTTAGGTGTTCTATCATCGACCTAGAGGGTAGTTGGGAGGACCTCTTTCCATTAGTGGAGTTTGCCTACAACAATAATTTCTAGTCGAGAATTCAGATGGCTCCGTACGAGGCCTTGTATGAGATCAACTGTAGGACTCCACTTTATTGAACATAGCTCAGTGAGGGTAAAATAGTGGGCTCTGACTTGATCACAGAGATAGAAGAGAAAGTCCAGTTGATTTAGAGCCAACTTAAAAAGACTTTATATAGACAGAGGTCTTACACATATTTGAAGCGTAAGGACATCGAGTTCTCAATTGGGGATAGGGTATTCCTCAATGTTTCCCTATGGAAGAAAGTGATTTGCTTCGGGCGCAAAGGAAAGTTAAGTCCTCGCTTTATAGGACCTTATTAAATAATTGAGAGAGTCGGACCAGTGGCCTACAGGTTAGCCTTACCACCAGAGTTGGAGTGCATCTACAATGTGTTCCATTTATCCATGCTCAAGAGATACTGTTCAGATCTTTTGCACATACCTTTAGAGCAGATTGAGGTTAGCCCATATCTGACCTATTTAGAAGAACCAATTAGAATTTTGGAAAGCGAAGTAAAAGAGTTAAGGAGCAAAAGGATTCATTTGGTGAAGGCACTATGGAGGAACCATGGGGTCGAGGAAGTAACTTGAGAAACTGAGGAAGATGTGCAACTTCAGTATTCTCACCTCTTCTTTTCAGATAAATTTCGAGGATGAAATTTTAATTAGGATGGGAGAGTTATAACGCCCCTGATCCTGGGTTAAGAGTTTTGGGTTAACCTGAGATGGGCCTTGAGTAAATTCCTTAGCTTATAAGAACTTTGACCCAAATTAAAATAGAATTAGGCTTGAGTTAAACCCGTTGGGAAATAAAGAGGGTGTTTTTAGTCTAATTTAGAATCACAGGGACCAGGGAAGTAATTTGTCCATTAAAGATTTCAAAAGCTAAAGATGTTTTAATTACGGTGATCTCACGTTGTCCCCTCCCACTTTTCTCAACTCTTCCTGTCTTCTTCTCCTCCTATTCTTCATATTCTTCTTCTTTCTTAGGGAGCTGATACAAAGGTGAAAACTTTAGATTAGTTCCAACAATTTTTAGCAAGCCAAGATAAGGATTTAATTCAGTATCTTCAGATCTTTAAATTAAGCCCTCAACTTCACCTTTTCACCATGGGAACCAAAAACAAGTTTTGTGGAGTTTAGTAAACTGTTGAGTTTTAATCTGTTTTCCAGAGTTTTATAGGCTTAAGAAATGTTTTTAAAGCCTTTTAAACCTCTACACTCAGCTAATAATCCTTGCAATTGGTTTTATTTAGTGAAAGAGGTTGGAGAGAGCTTCAAAGCTAGGAGAAGGAAAAACTTACCTTGGGTTTAGCTTTTGATGTTTCCAATACCTTAGAATCAACATGTAACTCACTCTTGACTAATATAACACATGTAGCTCATATATATGAGTTTGGTAAGTTGTATAAGCTTGAAGCATGTTCATGGTAGTTTACATTATTTGTGTGTTTTCAGTATGTTAAAGACCTTTTTATGCCCCTTAAAATCAAATAAAACTCTTAATCATCAGTTGAGGACCTCAATGAGGGTGTTTGGGGATGAAAAGATATGATTTTCGTACTCAAAACAGAGCACCCAACAACGACAATATCGATATTGTATGAAAAATATCGATATTGATATTTAGTCAAACATAAATTAGGAAGATTTATAAGGGTAATAGCGATACTCATTCATTAAGTATCGATACCAGGGCAGGAGTATCGATACTGCCCATAGGGGGTATCGATACTAGGGAAATATTTAAAACATCGAACCTCAATTTTACATCGATACTTAATCAAGTATCGATACCTCAATACCAAAGTATTGATACTCAATCTAATGTATCGATACTGCCTTATCCCAGCAACCACTTCAGACAGGGGGTATTGATACCAATAGGTGGGTATCGATACTGAGGAGTTAATATCGGTTCTCACGAACGGATTTTGTTAAATAATTCAAGGGATAAGGGATCAGACCCAAGGTGCCCCAAATACTCAGAATAATAGTAAAATAATACTTCAAGTGACAACAATAGTTATTATCATAACAATAGAAACAATAACAACTAGGGTTACATAAAACTAACATTGTTTAATGCTCATGAAACAGTCAGCATACCCGAGTTACTCTTAGCAGAAGTACGGCAATTAGTGGATCCAAGTCAGTGCCACGACACTTCAGAAGCCAACTAGGCGCCAGATGTCCCAAGACTTGACGAAGTGGTTGGCAAGTGCAAGTTTCTGATGACAGAATTCTGGATTCCCCTGGTAGGCTAGAGGGGTATGTGCTCCGAGATTAAAGAATCCTTCCGTCGCACCATGATGCCTGCCACAGTTTAGCAGATTAGGTCTCAGTATCTTATGTCTTCGTATGTTCCGACCTGTGCCGATAGTCAACTCTTTAAATGGATGCATATAGTATAGTTCAATGCATTTTTTTAGTGAGGTATTGAGCTCATAAGCTCAACATTCGGAATGTGTTTTAGTGCACAGGTTCTTAGGGACAGGTCATGGGGAGTTATCGTCGGCAAATATTTTAGTGCAGTAGACCAGACTAATAGTGACTATCAAAGTACGCCTTGAGTCTTCTTTATAGGGCATGTACTATTTATGAACCCTTTGTATATTCAGTCGTAACTTTGATTAATGATGGTACTCTATTTATTTTGGATATATTTTGGGAGGTCCCCACTATTTTGTAAACTAAGATATTTGTTAGGATTTCTTTTAATAGTATGGATGAACTATTTCAATTAATTGAAAATCAGTTTTTCTAAGAAAATTTTGGGTCACTATTTTGGTAGTCCCGTGATATTGAAATTCATAGATATTTAGGTCAAACTAGATTAGGGTGTTACAAACTTAATTACCTGATACATTTTTAACAAAAATAATATTTATTTTATATTATAGTTGTATACTTTCATCTTCTTCGTTAATCCAAATTTATGGTTTGCGAATCTGTTTACCTTCGATGGAGATGTCGAATTCTGATTTGTTTTTGCTTTGAGGATTTTTCCCTTGAATTCGTCATTTTTTAAGCTTTGAAACCAATATCACCATTGTTAATACATCCGCTACTCCGACTGAGAGAGTGACTGTGGTGGTGGAGAAGCTTGAAGTTACCGAGAAGGAGCCACAATCGTCACCACCTGCTCCCGTTCCGGAGCCTGAGGTGCCCGTGAAGCCTGCAACAGCTGTTGTTATTGAAAAAAATGGGAAGAAGTTGATGAGAAGGCCAAGGATAAAGAAAGTAAGATTACTGAATCGGTTTCTTTCGAAGAAGAAACTAATATCGTTGGTGAACTTCCCGGGGCTTAAAAGAAGGCTCTTTGATGAGCTTAAACAACTTATTCAAGAAGCGCTTAACAAGCACAAATTCACTGCCAAAGAAGAAGAAAAACCAGTAGCTGAGAAAAAATAGTAGAAGATGAAATAAAGAAGAGAAAGAGTAAGAGAAACCTACTGCTGCTGTTGAAATTTCAGCAGAGTCCAAGGTGGAAACTGAAGCACCAACCTCTTTTGAAGTTAAGGAAGAAGAAAAATCTTTTCCTCCACCAGTAGCAGCAGTTGAGGAGCCGACTGTCGAGGCGGTGATTGTGGAAACCGAAGTGGTTGGAAAGGTGACAACCGTAGACGATGACGGCGCCAAGACGATGGAGGCAATTGAGGAGTTTGTAGTAGCAGTCGCCACTCGTCCCGCAGAAACAAAGGAGGAGGCTGCCATTGAAGTTGCTCCTCCTCAAACCGGGGAGACAAAAGAAGCTGAAGTTACACCGCCACCAGCCGAGCATGTGTCTATATGGAGAATTCCACTCTTGGCAGAGGAGAAAAGCGATGTGATCCTGTTGAAATTCCTGAGGGCAAGAGATTTCAAGGTAAATGACACATTCACTATGATAAAAAACACTGTCCATTGACTAAAAGAATTCGGTATCGATTCCTTGCTTGATGAAGATTTAAGAGGAGAATTCAATGGGATGATGTAACAAGAAGTGTCGGTTCCGTTGTTTCCACTGATGTAAGAAGAAGAATAAGCCATTAAAGGGTGTTGCCGGAGTTAGCGATACTCCCCATTATACAACTATAATGTAAAATAAATATTAGTTTTGTTAAGAATATATCAGGTAATTAATTTACCTAGGTGGTGGGGTGTTTGGTATTTGTTAAAGAATGACTTTGGTTTGAATCCCTTGGAAAGTAATTTTTTTTATCAAATTATTCTAACAAAACGACATCGTTTTGAATATTTTTTTAGCATCAAAACAATTGTGCCTAAACGACATCATTTTGGTGAGTGAATTACCTCAGCAACGTCACGATGCGAAGATGTCATGTCATCGTGTCGTTAAGTCATTAACGGAGAGGTGACATAATTACAGTGAAACATAAACATAAATAATAAAATTGGTAAAAAGGTGAGTGGTATTTGAAGTAGTTAACCCTTAAAGAAAATTAAAAATATATTTCATTGTTAAAAAGTTTAAAATTATATGTTTCCATAAATAAAATAAAATTAAAAAAATACCAATAAATTAATCAAGAGATAAACTCGAATGATCTTATCAATTGAGTTGATTTTTGTGCATGAATTTCGAAGACTACATCAATTTATTCGCATGTTAGATTAATCCTAAACTCAAAGTATCCATTCAATTTTAAAATGATTTAATTTAATAATTTTTTTAATAATTTAAAATAATTATGAGATAATATTTATTTTTATACTGTGGGTAACCAAACAAGCCTTTTAAATTAAAAAATTACCAAAAAAATAAGATGTCTACATTGGAGCTCAACTTAATTGGTGTATACAATACAAACATGTTATTATTATTACATGAAATAAAATATACAATAATTATTTTTTAAAGTCAAATCTAATTAATTTTAAATTAAATTGGCGAGATTTCTGAAAATGATAGTTAAAGCATCAAACATCTTATACATCCAATATATTATTATACGATTGTCCACAGAAATTTTATTGTTGATGTGGTGCAATATCATATTACTAAATAATTTAATACTATATAATATATAGTTTCTTAAAAATAATTTATTAAAAATATTAAAAATAATATAAATAATTATATTAACAAAATAACGAGATATCAATAGATTATTTATGAATTATCAACGTTGTCAAAATGAAACGATTTAATGATTATTATATAAAAATTATTTTAAATTAAATAAAAATATTAAAAGTTAGATTTAATTATAAAATAAAATAAAATAAATAAAAATAAAAGATTAAAGATTAAAGATTAAATTTATTATTAATATACTTAACGAAAATTATGATTAAACTTTAAAAATAGATTCAAAGAAGGATATAATTTTTAATTTAATTTTTGTTTAATACCTTTTAGTATTAAATCTTTTAAAGTACCACTTTAGGCCACGTGGCTATCATAGAAAGCACAAAGTGTTACGTGGACCCAATTCTCACGACTGTCATAAAGCAACAAGGACAAAATCGTCAATGAATATTAAACTCCCAAAATACCCAATTTGTCTGAGTCTTCAACTGTCTTTTCTTCTTTATTACTCCCTCCCTCTTTGAGTTTCGGTTTTATGCCTTTGGTTCTTTGGGTATATTCTTTTAGCTTTGCTTCTCCATGTAGAAGAAAATTAAGGAAATAAATATCTTTCCTTTCTTAATTTTTGTTCAAATTTCTCTCTTCTAACATCCAACGATTTCTCAGGGGGGAATTTCTCTTTCAGGTTAACTTTAAAAGATTTGATATTTTCAATAGAAAAATGCTGTCTTTTCTGCATTTGTGTTGTTTTTGTGAAATTTATGTAGAATTTTACAATAGGTATTTCCTTTTTCTTCTTGGTGTGTTTTTGGTTTTTATTATTATTATTGATTGATTTGGTATGCTACTGTTTTTTTTATTTGAAGTTTTGATTTGTTGGTTTGATTTCTAATGATGGGTGTTTGTTAATTTCATGCAATTTTGGATCTGGAAATTGAGTTTACTATGGTTGATCTGTTATTCTCTTTTGCTATTGCTTCATAGTTTGCATTTTGGTTTTGTTCTAGAGGTTTTGCTTGTGTTGTTTATTTAGATCAACCATTAAACCTTCCTAGAAATGAATCTGTCTAAAGCCATTGTCTTCTTCTTCTCTATCTCTAATTCCGACACAGTTTTTTCCCTTTTGGCTCTAAGCATATGAATTTATTTCATTTTCCATTTTGGTTGGCTATCTAGTGATTGAGTTGTTTTTAATGTTGATCATTCATTTTTCTTTTGTTATCATATTTCCTCTACAGGGTATTTTATGCTGACACAACGAGTTTTAATGCAGCACATCGGTTCGCCTTTTTGTAGGAGATATGTTTGTAACTACAGCGAAGATGATGGTGGGATGATATGTTGTTATTGACAAACTCTCCACATAAATGGAACTAGATTCTAGAATCTAGAGCTTTCTGATTTCTTGTTAAAATATAGACTAGATGGAATAAAGTAGCTAGGAAGTTATTACCTCTTTCCTTTTGCTAACTTCTTTATAGACATTTGGAGAATCTTTGGCTCTTGTCGTAATCTGTTGGAGGGACTGTCACTTCAAAACTTGAATTTTCAATAACTTTTAGGAGTATTTATAGTGATCTCTGGATTTAAAGTGTTGTGGAGATGTTAAATTCACCTCAAGGACATAAGAAGAGCCTCCAAAAATCCATGCGAAAAGGCTCATCTGGTGCCTCATATAAAGATTTGTGGCATGCTGTGGGAGAAGGGTCCTTGCCTGATGTAGATTCAGCATTGGCGCTATTGAAGAAGAATGGAAGTAATATCAATTCGAGGAACAGTTTGGGTCTGACTCCTCTTCACATTGCAACTTGGAGAAACAACATTCCCATTATTCGAAGGCTTCTAGCTGCTGGTGCTGATCCTGATGCTAGGGTGTGTAATTCTTCTTATCCTTTTGTTGATCAAATGTTTTCAAGTTCGTTGTGGATGTCTATCAAGTATCCTGCTTTAGAACATCGATGATCTTGTTTTAAACATCATTAAGTCGTAGTGATGTCAGATGTATGATGGTGCAATTAGCTTCAAGCCACCTTTTTTGACTCTTCGTAATCCTTGTTCCAGGACGGAGAATCTGGATGGAGTAGCCTTCATAGGGCTCTGCATTTCGGTCATCTTGCTGTGGCGAGTGTTCTTCTCCAGTCTGGTGCTTCTATTACATTGGAAGATTCAAAATGTAGAACTCCTGTAGATCTCCTGTCAGGGCCTGTTTTGCAGGTTTTTGGAAGTGTGCAGCATTCAGGTACCTGTTACTGTCTTGGCATAATGGAAAGCCTCTTATTAATGTACGAAAATCAAATCTTTGTCAAAGTATAACATAGTATTTATTTGTGTTTTTAGTAGCTACTGAGGTGTTTAGCTGGGGAAGTGGTGTAAACTATCAACTTGGAACTGGAAATGCCCACATACAAAATTTACCTTGCAAACTTGATTCGTTTCATGGCTCTAAAATCAAGTTGATTTCTGCTGCTAAGTTTCACAGTATATCTGTCACAGCTAGTGGAGAAGTCTACACCTGGGGTTTTGGAAGGGGGGGCCGTCTTGGGCATCCTGACTTTGACATTCATAGGTAAAAGTTTTCTTGTGCTGTTGCATAATATAGGTATTAGCAGCTTAATGGTGCTTCAAGTAGGAACTCTAAATTAAATTCAAGCCACGGGAACTCTGGATATTGAATTTTGTTGGTTCAAAGTTTCGTCATATCTGTTTTGAAACACCATTCTGAAACTTTAAAAGTCTGGGATAGTTTTATTTGTTATTTTTATGTTGGGTATGGAAGATCATGTCACTCAACAAACCCAAACACGATGCGAGTCAACTATCGTGAACATATTTTTCCTTCTATACTTTTCAGTGGTCATGCTGCAGTTATCACTCCCCGCCAAGTGACTTCTGGTTTAGGGGCTCTTCGGGTGAAAGCAATTGCTGCAGCTAAACATCACACTGTAATTGCTACTAAGGGTGGGGATGTATTCACTTGGGGATCCAATAGAGGTAAAAACATACGGGTCATGCTAGCAAGAAACATTGACCATTTGAGATTGATGTTTTCCTCAAGTGAATTTTCGTTTATTCTCTGAACTGATTCAAAATTACTTCTACTTCTTGATCAGCTAGCTAACGTTCTGATTTTTGTTTCAAACAAATCACGTGCTTATCGACTAGAAATGTTGATTTTTACTTCTTTTTTGGGCAGAGGGTCAGCTGGGCTATACGTCTGTGGATACCCAACCAACACCACGTAGGGTAAGTTCACTTAGATCACGAATAGTTGCTGTTGCTGCTGCAAATAAGCATACTGCTGTTGTCTCTACATCTGGTGAAATTTTCACATGGGGCTGCAACCGAGAGGGTCAACTTGGCTATGGAACCTCTAATTCAGCATCAAATTACACACCAAGAATAGTTGAGTATTTGAAAGGCAAGGTCTTTGTAGGCATAGCGGCTGCAAAATATCACACAATTGTTTTGGGAGCTGATGGTGAGGTAAACATGCCAGAACTATTGATAATTGGATTGATCTCTATTTGCACTAATATTTAAACTCATATGCTTGCATTCAAAATGTTTGAATTTTTTTATAAGGACGAGTTCCAGCATCTTGGTTTCAGTTTTCATTTCACCGGTTACCGTGAAATACATTTTTCCCTTTCTCTATGGGACTAACCCCAGTAAAACTTGTACGGCAGGTATATACTTGGGGTCATCGACTAGTCTCACCTAGACGAGTTATCATTTCTAGAAATTTAAAAAAGAGTGGAAGCACCCCCATGAAATTCCATCGGAAGGAACGGCTTCATGTGGTTGCAATAGCTGCTGGGATGGTACATAGCGTTGCTTTGACTGACGATGGAGCATTATTTTATTGGGTTTCCTCGGATCCTGATCTTAGATGCCAACAGGTTCTATTCCTCTGTATTTTTTGTTTTTCCTTCCCTACAAGTGAAACATCTTATTCAGTTCCTCTGGATGAATTTGTACAGTTATATTCAATGTGTGGAAAAGAAATAGTAAGCATTTCTGCGGGCAAATACTGGACTGCGGTTGCCACTGCTACAGGTGATGTTTACATGTGGGATGGCAAGCAATGTACAGACAAACCACCTATCGCAACTCGGTTACATGGCGTTAAGAGGGCTACTTCAGTTTCAGTTGGTGAAACTCATCTTTTGACTATTAGTTCTCTCTACCACCCTGTGTATCCTCCCAATATGCGCAAAATTGATAAGGAACCGAAGTTGAAAGTTAATGATGAACTAGAAGAACTTGATGAGGAATGCATGTTTGATGATTCAGAGTCAAGTAGCATAACATACATGCATAAAATTGATTCTGAGCAGAAGCATATACCAAGCTTGAAGAGTCTTTGTGAGAAAGTCGCAGCAGAGTGTCTAGTGGAGCCAGGGAATGCAATTCAACTACTTGAAATTGCTGATTCTCTTGGAGCAGATGATCTGAAGAAGCATTGCGAGGTTTGCTCTTGAAAGGCCACAAAAATTACGTGTAGAAATTTTATTTAGTCTTCATAGGATCTGTTTTGAGCCTCACTTGTGATGTTTTTGTGGAAATTTTATGATAGTATGCCGAAATTTGAAACATTGTAGACCATTCAGGCTTTAGCTTGACGTTCCAAACCTCAGTGGCTGAAAAAGCAATATAAATCTAAAAGATTAGGATATGGTTTTCTTCTTGTTGTGCCTCCGAAGTCTGATCTATTCTTTAATTTTTCTCGGGTCTCCATATTGTATCGACATTTACTTCTCGTGCTACGTGTCATTTTTCTTTGTTTGGAATAATGTATGTAGTGGATACAAGTTGCATAGTTCCCGAAGAATTCTGACCTAAAGATTATCTGGCAGATTAGCTTATATGAATTGTATTCTTTAAGGTTTCTTGACATAAGGTTTTGCATGAATATACTCTGACTACAAAATTCGACTTCCGGAATGCAGGATATTATTATTCGGAACTTGGACTATATTTTAACAGTTTCATCTCAAGCTTTTGCTAGTGCTGCACCAGATGTTCTAGCTAATCTTGAGAAGTCATTAGACCTTAGATCATCTGAATCATGGAGTTACCGCCGGCTTCCCACTCCCACGGCAACCTTTCCGGTTATCATCAATAGCGAAGAGGAGGATAGTGAAGGTGAGGTTCTAAGGACCCGTAACAACAACAAGAATAAGAACCTTTTGGAAAATGAAGGAGACAGGTCAGATTCCTTTCTGCAACCTAAAGATGATCCTAATCTCGGTATTTCCAAACAAGTTCGAGCTTTGTGGAAGAAGTTGCAGCAGATTGAGGTGCTTGAAGTGAAGCAGTTGAGTGGATGCATCCTTGATGACCAGCAAATTGCAAAGTTGCAAACAAGACCTGTTATTGAAAATTCTCTTGCTGAGCTAGGTGTTCCAGTTGAAAGATTGCAGTTGAAAGGATCATCTTCGATTCCACCTGATGGAAAAGGAAATAAAAAGGCCGAGATTTCGAGAAAGCAGAAGAGGAAGAACAAACAAAGGGTAGATCAAGATGAGACAGCATCTGGTTTTAGTATTACTGACAAACTAAAATCTGTGAAGGACTTCCCTGACATTGAAATTCCCCAAGTTTTAATGAGTAAGGTTAGATTTCTTGAACTTATTATATGTACTGCATGTAAATATCTTTCAGAATGCATCTTTTGTAAATTACTGAAAGTAAAAAGAAGGTTAAATTCAGTAATTCACTTGAGCAATTCATCATATTTGTTGAAATCTTTGTGGCTTGTGACAGGAAGAAAATGCTAGGTCAGAAGGAGCTATGGCAAACAAAGCCTCGAAAGAGTCTGCTTTCTTTGTTAAGAAAAAGGAAAGTTCAGTGCCCGCAAAAGATAAGGGTACTCCGCAAACAGCAACCAAGAAGAAGAATAGGAAAGGTGGGCTCTCTATGTTTCTGAGTGGTGCTCTTGATGACACCCCCAAACAAGTGACTCCCCCGCCACCATCAACCCCCCGTAGTGAGGGCCCTGCATGGGGTGGTGCAAAGGTTTCAAAGGGATCTGCTTCACTTCGTGAAATTCAGGACGAGCAGAGCAAGCTACAGGTGAATCAGAAAACTGGAAGCAAAAATCAGGTGGAAGATCTTTCTTCCGATAACGTTGAAGGTAAAATCCTGCCGAGTTCATTTTTATCATCCAAGCCAATTCCAGTTGTCTCGGCTCAATCATCACAGGCATCCGATGTACAAAAAAGCACACCTCCTTGGGCTTCTTCTGGTACCCCTCCTCATCCTTCTCGTCTGTCTCTCAGGGACATCCAGATGCAGCAGGTATGTAAAGTACATGCATCCTTGTCTGGCTTCATATTTATATACTGAATGCAATCATTTTCTGCTTGCCTGGTATTGTTCTAATCATGGCCCCTTTCGTGTATGTATCTTCTGCAAATCGGCTCTATGCACTTATTCAATCGTGCAATTTTGCACGACCCACGTTTTTCATTCTGGTGCCTCTAACTAAATGCAGTTGAAGCAAGAGCAGAGTTTTTCTAACAGTCCGAAGATGAAAATGTCTGGGTTTTCAGTAACTTCAGGTCAAGGGTCATCATCTGATTCCCCAGGGATGAACCGCTGGTTCAAACCGGAGGTGGAAGCACCTTCATTAATTCGTTCTATTCAGATCGAAGAGAGGGCTATGAAGGACTTTAAACGCTTCTACAGCAGCGTCAAAGTTATAAAAAACCAGTCATAAAAGAACCAACTGAAACTTGGCTGTTTCAGGTGGCACCAAGGAATTTATTTCTCACCTGTGGTTAAATGTAAATTTGACTGTACAGATGTTCTTACTGTGCATTTAACCTCCTTTCTAAGGTTAATTTCAACATAACATTGTTTTTTAGATCATGGAAGATCTTTTAAGTTTTTCTTGATCTAACTTCCGAAAATAATGTTCATCTTTGTGAACTCATTTCTTGGATTTTTAGCTCATGGACTTTGTACAATCAGAAAGCAATAAATTGAGCCTTGCAACTTTGTCAAATACTGGGATTTTCCCACCCAATTTAGGATGCAATATGATCCTATGAGGAACCTGTGATTGAGGCAGGACAAACTAATTCAAGGCTGTGTAAATAAACCGAGGTATGATTGTGTTCGTTGTTGTTTTTGAAGGAGTTTACGTTTAATTTGTGTTCATTTACGTGTTATTTTATTTGTTTTTTAAGATATTCATATTTGTTCAGTGTTTATAAGCATATTCGTTTAAAATTCGCGAACATATTCATTTAAGGTTTGTTTAATGTTTAATAACTAACCTTTATCCTTTTTTTTTATTTGCAAACCAAAGGAAATGGTAGAATTATTGCACTAGTCCTTAAGCTCCTCGAATTTTAATGTTTGAATTCTAAAATTTACCTTGTATTTAATTTAGTTCATACTTTCATTAATATTTAATGTTTGAATTCAAAAATTTACCTTGTATTTAATTTAGTTCATACTTTCATTAATATTTAAAATGTAAAAAAAAACTGAATAAACAAGTTTGTTCGTGAATGTAATCAAATTTGTCTACGTTTGTTTGTTAAGGGAACATAAAAAATTTGTTCATACACGTCTATCCAACTTAATAAATGAACATTATACAAACGATTCACTAATAATTTATCAAAAATTACGTTTATTTATACTTCTATCCAAGACATGGGGGGGTGCTAATATGCAATATGGTCCCATTAAGGAACCTGAGAAGGAAGTTATATCTTAAACATAATAAGTTGGCAATAGGGAAGAAAGATTAATGAGTGGGAAAATGGAAGTACCAAGTTCTTGGAAAACAAAATAGCAACACCCAAAGATCTTCCAACCCTTTTCCCTTTGGCCCAAAATGGAAGAAATGATTAGTCAACAACATTGATTGGAATATTATGATGTATATATATATATATATATATTGCTTTTGCAATGAAAGGACTTCAATAGGAAACACATGCATGTTCCAAATAGAAAAAGGAAAAGAGGGCACAAAGAAACGATTGATTAGAAACATAGTAGACCCTTTAATGGAGACAGTGGTGGGTTGAGTATGTGAGGGAAAAAGTTGAAGGTTTAAAAAGAAAATTCCAAATTTTTGATGTGATATCATACTATTAACAACCCATTGAGTATTCTTATTTCTTTCTGTTGCGTGAACTTTTAAGTTCATAAATTGATATTGTTTTTTTTAGATACCGACAGGAGGATTCCAAAGTTGAGTCCCATGGGCTTGGCCCTCCTTAATCCTTCCAATACTCATTTTAGGTATTCTTCCTAAAATTACAATTTTGGTCCCTCCAAAATAATATAATTCACCTTTTAATATAATCTCCTGGTTCACCCTTGTTCGAAGGTGCGTCTCACTCAGTTCGAACATAACCACAATTAATCAATAAGAAAAGATTGCCTAGTTTCACGTAGCATCAAACTAAGCAGGCTTGGATTATAACATCAATAATAATTTCCACAATTAATCAATAAGAAGAGATTGTCTAGTTTCACATAGCATCAGACCAAGCATGCTTAAATTATAAAACTCTTGGGTTGTCGACAGGGAAGGTCAAGGAACATAAAGAATCGTGGTGGTGGAACGACGAAGTCCAAACTAAGGTGAAGACAAAGCAAACTTGCTTCAAGGAGTTTCTACAATGCAATGACGACGAAGAAAGATCGAGAGCTAAACAAAGATACAAGGAGGCAAAGCGGGAAGCCAAGAAAACAGTGGCTAAAGCAAAGGATAAGGCATACGAGGAAATGTACAAGAGATTAGACACCAAGGAAGGACAAAACGACATCTTCAGGCTTGCAAAATCCAGGGAGAATAGGAAAAAGGATCTAGGTAGCATTAGGTTTATTAAGGACAACAATAGTGTTCTTTTAGTGAAAGATCATGATATTAAGAGAGTGTGGGGTAGTTATTTCTTTGGCTTATTTAATGACGGTGCCTCTCCCTGTAGAGATAGTACCGTTGATGGGTCAGCCGACCATCTTACTACGACCAATGACTGCCCTACAAGTAGGATTCAGATTGAGGAAGTTAAAATGACTCTTAGAAAGATGGGGAGGGACAAAGCTGTCGGTCCAGATCAAATTCCTATCACTGTGCGGTTGGCCCTAGGAGAAGAGGGAGTTAAGTGGTTGACCCACATCTTTAATATTATTTTAGAGAATGCCAAGATGCCAGAGGAGTGGAGAGAGTCTACGGTGATACCAATCTATAAGAATTAAAGGAGATCCCCAACGTTGTGGTAACTACAGAGGTATTAAACTATTCAGTCATACCATGAAGCTATGGGAAAGGGTGATAGAGGCTAGGTTGAGACATGTTACTAGGGTTTCGGAAAACCAATTTGGCTTTATGCCAGACAGGTCTACTACGGAGGCGATTCATCTACTTCGACGGCTTATAGAGAAATATAGGGAAAAAAATAGAGATCTTCACATGGCGTTCATTGAACTTGAGAAGGCGTATTATAGTGTTCCCCGCGATACGATCTGGAAGACCTTGGAATCGAGACGGATCCCAACTGCTTATATCTGGGTGATTCGTGATATGTACTGTAGATCTACTACATACTTCAGGACTACAGTTGGTGACACAGAGGCTTTCCCGGTGGAAATTGGACTCCACCAGGGGTCGGCTCTTAGCCCTTACATCTTCGCCTTGATTATGGACGGCATCTATTGTGCGACACCAGACGGTGTTCCATGGTGTATGCTTTTCGGTGACGACATTGTCCTAGTTGCTGAAACAAAAACTGAGCTGAATAGTAGACTGGCTACCTGGAAGAATGCTTTGGAAGAAAAAGGTCTAAGGATCAATATTGAAAAGACAGAGTATTTATGTTCAAACTTCAGTGGGAACCAAAACGTTGAAGATGTAGAAGTATGCATCGAAGGACACGTTCTCCCCTAAAAAGATTGTTTCAAGTACCTAGGGTCTATGATACATAAAGATGGGGGTGTAGATGATGACGTTACAAACCGTATAAAGGCGAGATGGCTAAAGTGGAGGGCTGCTACTGGAGTTTTGTGTGACAAGAAGGTACCTCTAAAACTAAAGGGAAAATTTTATAGAATGGCAATAAGACCAGCGCTGTTGTATGGATCAGAATGTTGGGCAATCAAGAAGGGTCACGTAATGAGGATGGAGGCCATAGAAATGAGAATGCTTCGATGGACATGTGGTAGGACTTTGTGGAACATGACACCAAACTCTGCAATTAGGATGTCCTTGGGGGTGGTGCATGTATCCGAAAAATTAAGGGAGGGAAGACTACGGTGGTCTGGGCATGTCCTTAGGCGACAACCATCATATGCGGTCAGGAGGGTAGAGTCGATTACAGTCGATGGTGCCAGAAGGAGAGGACGACCAAGGAGGAAGTGGGTAGACTGCTTGAGATCTGATTTGAAGGATTTAACCCTTACCGAGGACATGACCTCTGATAGGAAAGTATGGAGACTTAAGACCAGGGTAGCCGAGTAGTGTGGGCCACAACCATAGGGTGTAGCATCTATATCTTCTTTTTTAATGCCTTTGTAGTAATTTCCATGACTTCTACTTTTTATTCGTTTCTGTCATTGGAAATTATGAAGGCTTAGAACTAGGGTAGCGGAGTAGTGTTGCCTTAGTTTAGGTTTTAACTCATTTGACTTTAGCCGGGACTTACGTTTCTGTCTATATGCAGAGATTACGCAGAGATTTATTTGCAGGGATTACTTCCCATTACAGACACGCATATGAAGACTGCAAATGAAGACTGTTTCAATTATGTATTCATTTATTTATACATGCATTGTATTTTATCTTTATTTTTAATTTTCTATCTGCCGGAAGTCTTCCACGGAAGCTGCTCTCAACCTGGCGTTGGGGGTAGCCTACTACCCTACCTCCCCTTTACCCCATTGTATATGGGAATAGGGTTTTGTTGTTGTGGAGGTAGTTTTACAACACGAGTTGTTTTACTATTAATCAAGCGAAAACCTTTTCTCTCACGTTACTCTGTGGCATTCTCTCTCTCTTAGGATATTGTGTGACCGTGAATTAGACTTTTTAATAACTTATAACGTTTGAACATAAAATAATTTTATTTTTCATAAAAAACATTACTAAGCTTGAGAGGTGACCTACACATTATCATTTCGATGCCCACTTTTATTATCGAAGTGCTTAGAGATATTTTCGTAGTTTTATCTACGTAGGAGTTTTTGATAATTTATCACTCTTGAAGGTGTTTTAGCCACATTAATACATTTAAGCTTCCCTTTTCGATTTAACCTGTTATTACAATTCATCCCTTAATCCATGAGTAATTTAGAATTCATACATTGACTTTTTAAGGAGGGAGTGTCGATAGTCAACCATAGAGTATTGATACTCTTAGATAGTATGGATACCAAAATGACATCTTATGGTCTAGCTTTTGATGACGGCATCGATACCTAAATTTTAAATCGACGTTGAATAGACAATATTGATACGCCATGTATGGGTATCTATACTTCCAACATAATTTGCCTAGATTTTTACTCGTATTCATATGATATTGATATTTGAAGAACAATACTAATACTAAAGCCAAAAAATGACAATTTTCAAGTTCAAGAATTCTCTAAAACCTCTATAAACACTCTAAATAAGATTTACTCGATCTCTAAGGCTTATGTGGGTTATATGAGATCATTTAACATTCACCTGTCCTACATTTAACAACAAGAGCATCAAATTGAATAAACAATATGCTTGGCACTCAAACACTCAACATTCACCCACCAACAAGCAAAGCATCACATTACGAATGTCAAGCAACATTTCAAATTTAGAAATGTACTCCATTAATGTACAAACCTAAAATGAAGCTCCTTTCTCAATTACTACCCATTTTCTCCTTCCCTCTTACACTAAAT